CGCAGCCTTCTCTCCTCCAGCTGAACCCCCCAACTCTCCCAGCCTGTCCTCACAGGGGGGCTCCAGCCCCCCCAGCATCTCCGTGGCCTCCTCTGGCCCCGCTCCAGCAGGTCCGTGTCCTTCTGCTGTTGGTGCCCCAGAGCTGGACCCAGCCCTGCAGGGGGGTCTCCCAGAGCGGAGCAGAGGGGACAATCCCCCCCTGGCCTTATGCCCACCCTGCTCTGGGTGCAGCCCAGCACACGGGGCCTTTCTGGGCTGCCAGCGCACGGTGCTGGCTCGCAGGCAGTTTCCACCCCCCCACCCCCCGAGTCCTTCTCCTGGGGGCTGCTCTCCAGCCCCTCCTCGCCCAGCCTGGGTTTGTGCTGGGGATTGCCCCAGCCCATGGGCAGGACCTTGCCCTTGGCCTTGCTGAACTCCATGAGGTTTGCCTGTCCCCTCCCCAGCCTGCCCATGTCCCTCCCCTCAGCATGTCCCCGCACACACAGCTCGGTGTCAGGGGGAACTCGCTGAGTGTGCCTGGGTGGGGTGGGCAGTCACACACACGTGCACACATACACTCACACAGGTCGATGTGGGTTTCTTCTGACTTGTTTTCAAATTCCTCACACCATCAGCATGTTATCATGGTGTCTTCTCCAGACCCAGAGGAGGGGCTGTTGCCAAATATTTCAAACTATGACACTGAACTCTGTCCATCACCGCGGCGGTACTGTCATACCTCTGAACCAGCTGTAGTGCTAAAACATGTAATACCAGGCAATACCATCACCACTCACAGGTCACACAATCACAGAATCGTCTTGGTTGGAAAAGCCCTTGAAGCTCCTCCAGTCCAACATGAACCTCACTCTGACCATTCCCAACACCTCCAGATCCCTCAGCGCTACCTGGCCGAGGGCCTGGCAATCTGGGAGCTACATCAACCAGCTTTTAGACGTGGCTTTGTGCCGGTGTCCCTAAAGCTGGGCTGGACATGACCCATGCCGCTTTTGCTGGGAGTTGGTGAGTTTCTGGACCAGCATGCAGGGTGATGGGTCCTCCCAGACTTTGCTGTGGTGTGGCCACCCAAGCTGATCCCTGAGCTGTTTTCTACACTCCACAATCGCTTTCACTTCTACCCTCTGAGGCACCATATAAGCACTTATCTTTCTGCTGGGGGAGCAGGTTCAGAGGAGCTGCAGTGATGCTCTGTGCTGCGACCCAGCCTGTATCCCTGAGCAGCTCTGAAGCACTGAGGATTGCACAATAGGTCCAAACCAGAGTTCATCTATAGATGAGTCCTGTGTATTTTATAACTGATGACCATTGTGCTAACAGGTGTTATACTAAGTTATAACCAACCCCCTATTCCAATATAAAAAGTGGAAGTATTGAAGCCTGAACAACAGGCCCTGAGCCGAAGCTGCTCACTCAGTATGTCATCGTTAGTGAAATATGTGTGGAAGACGTAGCTCTCATGAATGCATATTTATCTATCTTTGTGTGTGGATAAAATAACTGGTTGTGGAGACCGTAGTCTGGCCCTGTGCCTAATCCGCCTGGGTAAGCAGAGGAACTCCCTTCGCTTCTCTCCTGAGCCCTGGCCAGGCTCTGGGGGAATCTAATGTGAGATTGAAACCAGATATTTCCGCTCCAGAGCAAGGTGCCAGCTCTTCTGGCTTGCTGATTTTGGGGTATGTAAGGGTGGACCCGCTCACAGCGACTTTGGAGGCCTCAGCTACGGGTGGATGCACTGCGTAGGATTTCCCACTTGCCGGGAAAGGCTCTGCAAACCCTCGCTGTAACCGGGGCTGCCTGCGGGTCTGGGTGATGGCAACGGGTGCAGGTGCTGAGGGATCTTTCTTAATCGCTGTTCCCTCTCTCTCAGGTAGTCAGGATTTGATGCATTACCCCGTTATTTTCCTGTTTGTGTGAGTGCACTATTCTGTCTTTTCTTACTGTGTGTTTTCTGTATTCTTCTGTTATATTATTTAGTTATTTCTAGTAAAATGCACCTGCTCCTTTCACTCTGGTGTCTGAGTTTAACTGCTATCCCCAATCAGCAAAACAAGCTCACACCCACTCCAGAGCAAGGTGAGAAGGTGCCAGCTAGGAGGGCTCCAGGAACAGCCGCTCAGCTGGGCTCCAGGAACAGCATCCGCCTCCTCAAGGTCCCTGTTCAGGACTCACCGGGTGGCCCCATTCTGGTCTGAGGGTTGAGGCCGAGCTGGTTGCTGAGGCTTCACTGATGGAGAAGGATCACCACCTCCAGCCTGCAATCGATGCTGCAGGAGTTGGGCAGCATTTTAGGATGAGAGTTTCCACCTCGGAGCCTCCCGTGACTGCCTGGGGAGGTTTCTGAAGGCCAGAGATAGACAGAAAGCCCCCCCCCCCC